ACTTACTCTGGGGCTTTGACTAGATGCCCGCAGACTTCTGCAACAATCAACAAGTGTAAATTAGGCTGATCCAAGGCTCTCGTGATCACAGTAGCGGTGCCTAGTTGGATAGAGCATGAACAAGGGGGGCTGAGGCCACGGGGAAATTGCGTTCACGACACGGCAGCAAACGTATTGCACGCTGGAAACAGCTGGACGCAAACCTTGTGTTTGATGCGACCATAAATCTTTAGGAAATGCAGGACCTGGGCTAAGGGTGGAGACAAGAAAGCATTGTTCTGTTCGATTATCCGGGGCTTATACACTGCTGGCGGGCGAGTCTGCGAAGGGGGTTTCGTGGGGCCACAATTTGCGGAAGGGTTGTCTTGGTGGGGCTCCGAATTTACAAGCCAGTGCAAGCCTCCCAGGGAAGGACGCCCCAGTGGACGGACTTTTTTGGCTCCCGAAGCAACGCAACCCCCAAGTCACTTCAAACGAAGCCAACGCGCCTCGGGACTGTTGGAAGGCCAGCATCGCCCGGGGCCACGGCGCCTCTTGCGCATGAGGCAAACGGTTCGGGCTCCTTGGAACTGGGGTTTGGCACTTTCGGCTGATCCGAGTGCAAAAGCTCAAAGCTTCGGAGATGGCAACTCGCAGCCAGACTGATCCCAGCTAAGCTGCGCTGAAGCATTCTTTTCGTGCCGCGCCAGTCCATCTGTCAGCTTGCCACTGTACCACCCTCTTTTGGTGGCTCGGGCTGGTGGCTTGGAGATTGACGATTCGCGCTGCATGGTCATGGACTCTAGAAGGCAAGCTTGGCTTCAGGTCTCCAAACCAACAGCAAAGTGTACCTGAATCTGGGCGGGCGAAAGAAATCCGGCCGCATAGATCTCGCGTTTTCCATGGGACTGCGCACAAGTTGACTCGCCGGAGGTATCTGCCATCAGCTCAAGGCGGTCAGCCCTTGAAGGCCTTTGGCTCCTGATGATGCCTAACACAGGGAAGGCAAACCCCGACGGTGCACTAGCCATAATGTCTCTGAAGACAGTTCTAAGCAAGACTCATTCCAAAATGAAGCGTTGTTGTCTTCCATCTTTGCCACATTCCCCATATTGCACTCATAATATTCCCGGTTTGAGCACAACAAGCTGCAACCCCTACCATCATTCATGTCCCCCCCCCCAAACATTCTCACAACCTAACCCCTTCGTCCCCAAATAAGGGTCACCTCTTTCCACCTTGAAAAACGCGGCACCCAGACGGAAGAGACGCGCCAGACCGGGAAAAACGAACCCGCCAGCGCCCCAGCAAACTGGGCGCCCACCCCCCCCCCCGAAGCCCGGAGCCGCCTGGCGCCCGAAGGCGAAGCTCACGGCGGCGCTGACCGCGATGCCCGCGAAGAGGGGCCGGCTGTGGGGCTCCAAGGACTCCACCCCCAGGAAGACCAGGCCCATGTAGGTGGGGAAGATCAAGGAGCAGATGCCTCCATACTGTGAATTGGTCAACCCCCACAGTTGGTTATCCACTACTTCAATTTGCTTGCTATTATTTAAAGGGAATCTATGACTGGACATACTGTGGATGGTTGCGAAATCCGTTCACCGCACCACGACTTGGAAACCATGGTTGAAACCACAACGTTTGTTGGTATTTACAGGGGAATCATCAGAAACCAGGGCTTCTTTGGTGGTGCAGGAATTCGTCTGCAGTATGTGTGTTTTGCTTGCGGTGCGATAAGGAATGAAGAATGGAAACCCAGGAATTGATCCCCGCAAAAAGGAAACCACCAGTTGGATGGCTTATGAGGGTCATTCCCTCATTCCCTGCTGAACACCAGAGCAAGTTTGTTTGCGAGCGGGCGAAAAAGAAAGATGCCATCGGAATACCTGAAAATGGAACACGGTGGACATCAAGTCCTGTGTAAATGATGTCTACAAAAGGGTACCCAGTCAAAAGTAAAACTCATGTCTGAAGGGAGCATTATGGACTTTGAAAAAGCTAGACCCTCTGGTGCACGGATTTCCGCCGAAAGATCAGTCTGGTTCATGATTCTTCCCCTCAATGGTCTTCAGTCGTGCTGGGTAAGGCCAAGGCAACTTGGAGTCTTGCTCTCCTCGGAATACAGATTCCATGAAGAATGCACATGCCCCACGCGGGGAATCTCCAGACCTTGCTCTACAAACGCATCCAGTATACCTATATATATATATATTAGGTTCGTGTGTATGGAAGCCTGGGTAGTTTGTATTCTAATATACCAGTCACCATGAAAGCAGGTATTAGCCTGCGGGCGCATGCATGCGGCTGCCTGTTTGCAACATACGCGCAGACTGTGTTGTGTGCTACAAAGCATTGTGGAGGAGCAGAGGAGGAAGAGGAGGAAGCGGAGAGGGAAAACAGGGAGGGCAAAAGAACAAAGAGGAGGAAAGGGGACGTGAGCGAAAGCTAGCCGGCCCAACAACGACATGTACGACCAAGTTGCCACGATATTCAGCATAGCAATCGAAAGGAACACCCATGGACCAGATCGTAACAAGCCCAGGTGGTATCCCCAACAGCCGTGCACCCCCCCGCCCCTCCACCCTCCGGAACCCTCTCTAAACCACCCCAGATCCTATCTGGGCAGAGACCCCAAAGCTTCCAGCTAGCTGTTGGGGAATGAACAAGCAAAAGAACTTGCCGCGAACACGTGGCCGGCCCAGCCGCCCCCCTAAATTGCCAAAGCAAGGAGAGCTCAATGCTAGCATAGCTGGCTTTCGTGCTGAAGATGAGGAAAGAACAATAAAAAGAAGGAAAGAAAGGAGGAGGAAAGCATGAGTAGGAAGGGAAGAAGAAAGAGTACCATGTTGCGCAGATGGTCGCATTCCAATGTTGAATTAAACCCGAAAGAAAAACATGTCTTCGTGCCTGCCACTACCTTCGCGACCCCATCGCAGATCTTTGTGAAGTAGGTTGAAAATATGCAGTGGCAAGCCATCGCCGAGACCATGAGCCAGATCAGCCAGTTGAAGCCATTGAAGGGGTTCTCGATCTCCAGTGAGTTGAAGGATGTGCTGGCCGAGATAAACAAGGCCAGAAGGATTTCCTGCGATCTTCGGTTCTCAAGCACACTTGAGCAAAGTTCCAATGAGCAACAACTATCACAGAAAGCGAACACAGAGACACTGGCATTGATCTCAGGGTCCGATGGCCATGCCCAGTTGCACTGTAGTGCCACGGGAAGATCCATGTCCACTTTCAGCACGTATTCCCCGCAAATGTTGCCACAAATGTAGAGAGCCATTGAGAGGCAAACATGGAAGACCGCCTGTGGATCCACTCCCATATCAATATCCGTCTGCAGAAAACCTGCGCCCGACAGAACTAAGATCAGGAGCGCCAGGATCTTGTCAGCCGAGTAGAATTGCTTGAAGCCTTAGCTCTCGCTACACATGGCCCCACAAGAAAACGTCAAGCCTAGTACTGCCGAGGAGCATATGCCGCGGACCACCGCCAAAGGCACAACTGCGAGGATGAGAACCAGTTGGAAAGAGGATGCCTTCATGCGGCCCAAGCAAACCTGAGCACGGGTAGCTCGATGCTTCCCTGGCGCTGGGCTCCGGCTCGGACCGTTTCTTGGAAGCTTTAAAGTCCACCTAGGATTAGTAAATGCAAGCGGAAAACGACAAATGGGCCCACATCGTTGATGGGGGGGGGACCCCCGTTCACTAATCCCAGGTGGACATTAGCCTCGAAAGCTTTTGCCTCGAAAGTTTGCCTCTCAAGTGGCTGCAGCGCAAAAACATGTACCAAAATGGCACCTTGGCAAATGGAACCAAAAGCTAAAGCCTGCGTAACAGGTCTGGACATTTTTTTGAGCCACAGCCAAGTGGGCAGGCGGCCGTGCGGGAGATCTCGAAAGCGCAGTAGATCATACTGGGTCCAGAATAGCGCACCATGAACCAGAAATCAAAGCTTCTGCGCAAGCCCGGGATGCCTTGGCTGGACAAACTCGAGCAACTACAAGTCTCTTCGGCGCTCCAAAATTCAACGGAAGATGCCATTCAAGTCATTTCAAGACAACCACACTCGCATACTTCAAGAACACTGATCACAGTCCGCTTAGCTTCCGTGGGCTGAAAGCATGTAGCCCCAACCGGCCATCAGCGCAAAGAATCTTGAGGTCAGTACAGCGATGGGCGCGCAAAATAATAGGTTGCCCTTGCCCGGAGTAAAGTGCCTTGCAGAAGGGCCAAATCTCGTCCCAAGCACGTGAGACTCACTCCAAGGGTGCAGACAGGGTGCTTGTAGATCTCCAGGCACATCCCTTGTGCACTAAAAAGAAGCATATACATAACGCCGCATGTGAGCGTGACCTTCCAATTTGGAAGAAGATCTTGTGCCACACCTCGCGCCATGTGAGCCGAAGATTAGGAAGAGGTCTGGTTTGTGTGGAAAAATCTAGAGCGAACCCATGTCCCAAGTCCCCTATGGAGCTTTTGACTGGATTCTTTGACCAAACCTCAGTGATCGCACTCCAGCCTAACCAGCCCTGCCTCTCTGCAGGATAGGCTGCGTTGGTCGTTTGGCTAGCTTTGCCACCGCCACGCCAATTAAGAAGGCCAGAATCGACAGGCTCAGAAAGATTGTCCAGTTCTTACGAGCATGCTGCAGATGATACAAAGCGACTCCCGTGTGAGCCTCAAATGGACAAAGGCACATGCAACGCATAAATAAACAGCTCGGAGAAGTACCTAGTTTGCCGCCTCGTCAGTCCCGGCACACAACAGCAGCAGTCTAAGGGTTGTCGTACAACTTCCTTGTCACATCTTGGACCATGTTCGGTCATTCCCACTGCAATCCCAGGGTGTAATACCAAAATGCCCATAAAGAAACCGCTTTTGCCATATAGAGATCATAAGATTTCTACGTGAGCAGCCGGGTGCTGCACCTCAATGTGCAGGGGTTCGCGCGCAGCCTCCAACTGTAGGATGCACAGGAAGAAGCACACTGCGCGAAGCATGGCAAGGGCCATGCGAAACTCTCATCGAATCGAGCCACACTTTGAGCAGAAATGGAGGACAAGCTTGCCATCAATCCATGACCCTATCTGTTTCCCAGACCACACCAGGTCCAGTTTGATTTGATTTGGGGGGCTCTCCAAAACAAATCAAGTTCGGTGCTGAAATCAGATCTAAAGTGCAGTCAAACGCAAATTGTATTTGCAGAATGTATAAGTGTGAATTGTGCCTTCCAATTGCAAAATGCAAGAACTCCAAACATACGCTAGAACGATTTCATGTTGATTCTGGAAGTCGGAAAATGCGTTCTTCATGCGGTTGGTTCTGCCCATTTGGACAAGGACCGACTGAAGCCAAGGGAATGTTCATTCCTAGAGAGCCCGCACTCAAGTTTTGGCACTGCGACGTTTTTGGTGAGTGCTACCCTTGAAGCCACGGTTTGGCCTAGCTGTGCTAAGCTCAGGACCGAGACTCGCTGTGCTCTGCCTCTGGATGCCTATCACATGGACAGCGGTCAGGCAAGGGCAAAACCGTGGACATGTCTTTTCTTAGGATGGCCAACCAAAAAAGCGATTTTCGTTTTCTGCGGCTCCCGTTGTTTCCAACTTGGTGATGGCCTTCGGTACCAGGCCCATGTAGGAGCTGACAGTGATGTGGTCGAGGCGCACTTTGCTCTGCAAAGACGAGCCTAAGGGAACCGACCCCGTCTCTCCAGCTCGCACCGGCAGATCTTAAAGTTGGTTTGCAACTCTGAGGAGAGAATCACAAGACCAAAAAAAAGGCTCACAGAAACGCGCTAACACTAAGGACGGCGCTGAGCAAGCTACTAGCTAGCTGCCAGTGGTCAGCCTTGCAAGCAAACATGTTCCGCGAGGGCAAGAAAAGCTCTTCGAGCACCCGCAAAGTCTTAGATGAGTTCGCCCCTTGTGCACATTCCGGCTGACTCGCGGTGGCCAAAAGTTGCTTTCTCCAAGGTCTTCAAGAACCCACCCTGGCCACCTGGCAATCGCTTCTGCCGGGTCACCGCAGCACAAGTGCCCAGGGCTTGGTTCAACCCCGCGGTGTCAAGCCCCAAGTCCGGCGCAGTCGCCTCATGCCGGATGCTGAACGCCCGGGCTGAGGTCTGCCCCGCCGGTTTGACAAGGAAATCGGATTCTTCGAAGACGGCACAAGAAAAAAGCCCATGCCGGTGGCAAGAGCAAGCGACTCCATGTTGAGCCTTGCTGCGGCACAAAAGGCTCCTGGCACTCTTCCAATGTCTAACTCGCATCCTCTCCAGCCGGCTCTGTTGCAAACAAATAAAGTGCTATGAGGACTCACCCACCCACCCAACCGCTGACAGACAAGGCAGGCCCAGAGGGCCACATTTGGTTGGGTCGTTTTGGCTGTGTATCCAGCATTCTTGGGTTCAATAATATTGATGTCCCATCTTGGAGCTCGGTTTTTTGTTCCGGGAGTCCGGCTTTGACACACCCCGATTCTAGATGCTGTCTTTCTAAATCTGGGGGACCCTTGCATTTATGTCCAACCATTCTGGGTGTTCCCTTCCCACATTGCCCTTGGGGGAAGGTACCATGGAAGATCCTCTTGCCACTTAGTGGTCGCTCAACCGGGCAAGAAGAAGCCAACCTGACGGACTGACGGAGTCCCGGAAGACCACTCTCCTTGAAAACGGATCCTCTGGTTCCACGTCAATGACCGGGCAAATGTTGACCCCATATTGAATCAACCCCAATTGAGGTGATACATCCCCACATTTGCACCAGTTGGACACTGGGACCCCTATGAATCAACTGGTTGGTTGCTGCAAATCTGGGGTCAACATTGTTTGAGTCATAATCAAAACCCGGTCCAACAATGGTGCACCCAGCATCATGCAAAGAACTAAGAAGGCGGATATCCGCAGCTATTTATGGTTGGGATCGTCCCTTACTCACCTTCACCAATCCCCGGGATTTGATTGTGGCTCAGACGACTTCCCTGCGCTTCCCTCGGGCTGAGCGCGTGCGCCAGCTGCAGCGCCCGGGCCCAGCTGCTTCGCAGGCGCTGCGCCGCCGCACCCAGCAGCGGCAGGTCCCGGCGCAGGCCGAAGCTCTGGAAGGCCCTCGAGCCGAGACGTCCACCAGCTGTCGTCTTTTTGGGAAAAATCCGCGGTTTAGTCCTTGTCCATTCTTTTTCTTTTTCTAGGGGTTGATTCCTTTTCCATTCTTTTCAACCATCGTTCCTTCCAAAAACCGGATCCGTTTTCTCTGGGTTTCTGGAGGTTTTCTAGAAAGAAGGATCCCTGGAAAGAATGGGGAAGGTACCCCCAGACTTTTAGGAAAAAAATCCGTGTCGACTTCGGGCAAAATGCCCCCGGAAGCCTGGGTCCTCAAAGAACAGCCCGGGGAACAAATGGGGGATCCATGATGGATAGATCATGGCGTGTCCGAGAAACGATTGCAGGTAACCCACCAATTGTTTGAGCAGAAACAAACAAACCTGCGTTTGTTCCAGCGGTAGACATAAATACATGAGAGCATCGCCCCAGCATATCCACCTTGTTCGAGGGCTTAGCCTACGGGCGGGTGCCTGCCGTAAGGTGCAGCTTCTCAATCTTGAAGAGGAAAAGTGCGAATGTCAAAAGCTGCCAAACATACGACTTCGAGGGCCAGCTCGGGCAAAACATCTTTACTCCCCTACCAACAAAAACATCAGGTGAAAGCCAGAAATCAGAAACCAAGGCTCTGCAAGCGCTGCAAGGCCTCGATCCAATTGCAGCTCCGGAAGGTGGCCTCAACATCTGGGCAGACGCGGACACGTGGGGCTGGCTGGCTGGCTGGCTGGCTGGCTGGCTGGCTGGCTGGCTGGCTGGCTGGCTGGCTGGCTGGCTGGCTGGCTGGCTGGCTGGCTGGCTGGCTGGCTGGCTGGCTGGCTGGCTGGCTGGCTGGCTGGCTGGCTGGCTGGCTGGCTGGCTGGCTGGCTGGCTGGCTGGCTGGCTGGCTGGCCGCAAACACAAGGCGATGACGATGCTGACGAGATGTGGTAACTTGTGTCGGGTGAATGAAAAATATCCCCTGTGATGATCCTGCTGTTTTAAGTACTTCCGGACAGGCGACACGTTTTCCGCCCGATGCATTCATTGCAAGAAAGGAGAATCATAGACTAAACAGTGAATCAATTGTCTCCTGTAAAATCAGCGGAAGCTTTGCACATAGAGTTTTGCAAGCAACAACAACTGATCATCAAACTGCGTGTGCAGTGTCTTGAGACTCTTCCGATTGGCCCTTCCTCCAAACTCCCCCAATTCCTCTTGTGCTCTGCCACAAATGCGTGGTGTTCCTCTTTGGTCCCTGTAAACCACCGCAAGGGAACGCTCAAAAAGAGACACACACGCACAAACACGAACACACACGAACACACACATACACATACACATACACATACACACATACACATACACATACACACACACACACATACAACCTACACACATACACATACACATACACAAACACATACACATACACATACACATACACATACACACATACACACACACATACACATACACACATACACATACACACATACACATACACACATACACATACACACATACACATACACATATACGCACACATACACATACACATACACATACACATACACATACACATACACACATACACACACACATACACACATACACACATACACATACACACATACACATACACACATACACATACACACATACACATACACATATACACAGAACCACATACACACATACACATACACATATACACATACACATACACACATACACACATGCACACATACACACATACACATACACACATACACATACACACATACACACATACACACATACACACATACACACATACACACATACACATACACACATACACACATACACACATACACACATACACACATACACACATACACACATACACACATACACACATACACACATACACACATACACACATACACAAACACACACACACACACACACACACACACACACACACACACACACACACACACACACACACACACACACACACACATAAAGACACACACACACACACAAACACATACACAAACACATACACATACACATACACAGACACACATACACATACACACATACACATACACACATACACATACGCATACACATATACACATACACATACACACACACACACACACACACACACACACACACACACACACACATACACATGTCTTGTTCGGTTTGGGCGTCGGTGAAGATGATGGGCCCCGCCACGCCCAGGTCCAGCCGCTGCTGCGCCATCTCGGCGACCAGGCCCAGGGCCAGGCGCATCTGCCGGGACTTCAGCACCGCCCGGGTGGCAGCGGAGTAGCTGAAGACGTCTGGCGCCTCAGGCGCCACGAGAGACGCGACGAGAGACGCGCCTCAGGCGCTCTTGACGAGGGAACCGCAAGAAGACGGCCAAAGCGAAAGCAGAACTGGAAGCCAAAAGGGGTCTTGCGGCGAATGCCAGGGAAGGAGAAATGGAATGACCCCCTGTAAACCATCCTCTATGGTTTCCTTTAAGGGAATCCTTCAGTTCAGTCCTAAAACCCTGGGTCATTCCCGACTGAGCTCCAGCAAGGTTTGCTAAGAGAGGGTTCTGAAGAAAGAGCTGGCTAAGAAATTGGACGGTGCCAAGCATGCAACCTGCAACGCAAGGCTGTGACATCAAAGCGTCCACGGCAGTCTTGTCCATGAGTCGCAGGAACACCAGCGAGGCAGACCAGGCTGCGGATTTCTGGCAAGCCTCCAGAACCTCAGCGAACGAGCATTGCTCTTCAAGCTGTATCCCATAGTTGTCCTTATCACTGGTAGCTATTTTCACAAATTTGCTGGGATATATTTGGGGCCGCTGATTTGTATAAAGGTCGTCGGCAATACGTTGGATGCTCCATCCCTCCCTTAGCAAGCTCAAACTCTCAAACGTACCTAGGCTATAACAAAGCGAGCAGAGCTGCCCAAAGAGCTTGCCTCTCGAGCTTGACGCCAAAGACTATGCTGCTCTCTCACGCATTCACTGGTTATTTCAAATGACATTGGCGTCAAGCAGGTGCAAGTATCCATCCTGATATGTATGCATCCGGCAATGGTTTCGTATTTGATATACCTTGGAGTCGTGTCCTCCCAAACGGCATTGCAGCAGTTAGCGCCCGCATCGAAGGCATGTGAAACCCGATGCCCCAAACATCATGCCAGCAAGACAGGATCACTTATTCCCACGAAACCTGGGCGACTGGAAACTTCAGCCTTTGGATCCTTGCACTTTGCTATCCTTTGAGCCCCCGTTCCGCGAGCTCTGCAAGTAAACCAACCAGAAGGAAACAACTCCCGCGAGTGAGGAAAAAAAAAAGAAAAAAAAAACTCGCCCTCGCTCCCTCTGCTCCCTCTTCCCTTGGGCCCGGGCGGGGTTGAAGGCGGCCTTGTGGGGCCGCAGCAGCCAGCAGCTGGCCATCTGGTCCAGGAGCTGCGTCCCAAGCTTCCAGTGGCCCCCCGCCTCGCAGGAGTCCAGGCCCGCCGCGCAGGTGCGGTGGCTGGGCACGTGGCCCTCCCGCAGCACCTGCCCAAAGACCTGGATTCGTCGGCTCCCGACTCGTGGACCTACTGGAACTCAGACAACAGGCAAAAGGTGTCTTACCAATTGGTCAAAAATAGGATAACCCCAAACTGGGTGCCCTGGTAATGGAAGGACTTCAATCTGCGGTCCCCTGGTGGTTTAGTTTGGACCCATACCCATCTGGAGTATGTCCAAACTAGGGCGGCCTTTGATGTGCGTTTGTCTGAGACCAACGGAAAGGGGGCAACTCACTTGGATCTGGGCTGGGAGGTTTTAAGGCAAATCTGCAACTACGCCGACATAAGGACGTCAAAGAAAAGCAACTCCAAGGCTATTACTGGCGTCGCGCTAACAATGGCCATCTATTTAATCCAAGTTTGGTCCGTGATATCCGTGTTCAAACAACCTCTACACGAGAATCAGCGGTTCTGAGCTCTACGTCAAATTGTTCAAAGCATTCCGTACTCGAATCTGAAGATTAGTAGAATTATGTTGCTTCTGTCTACTATCAGGGCAAAAGCATCCAAGAATCAAACAAGGTTGCCAACTACAAATGGGGTTATGAGTCAGTTGTATGCCGAGGAAGCCCATCGGAAACGAGCCCAGGGATGCCAAAGTGGGAGATCGCCCAAGTCAAAACCGAGGAACTTGCAGTCCGTTCCGCCACCTGCCACTCCGGTAGCAGGTCGCAATCACAAAGTCGAAGACTCCGAGGTTGGGCTTCACTCTGCTGCCACGGATGTCGCTCAAGAGCTGGAGTGCGTGTGACCAGGATCGCCCCCGGCAGCACTCATAGATGGCCTGCCTCATGAAGCTGCTGTGCAGATCCCCCAGCGCCAGCTGGCGGCGGCTGTTGAAGAGATCCAAACTGAGCTCCCACAGCTCGGCCCTGCCGCAGGAGCTCAGCAGGCTGGTGGCCGGAAAGCCCTGCACCCCCACCTGGTGCAACATGCCCAGAAAGGCCAAAGCGTCTTCCCAAAGGTCTGCGGCGGCAATCGAGTCGGCCGTCGCCTCCTGGACCAACAACAAGGTGTTCTCAGGCCCTTGCCGCAAAAAAAATAGAAAATAAAAACACACACACACACCAAGTGAAGTTCAAATTGCCGCTTTGAAAGATTGCCCAACACCCCGGTCCTGGGTCCTGCGGCCAAGGTATTCCTTTGGAATCGAGGCCAGCAGCCGCGTGCTCCATTTCCACTGGCCCGCAGTGTTGCAGGCCTCACAGGCGAACTGGGCGGGCGCCGGTGACGCTCGCACCCCTTCCGACACCCAGGCCTGCCACTGCAGCCCTTGGAGCCCCGCCAGGAAGGCGATGGCAGCAGTCCAGTGCGAGAGCTGAGCATAAGTCTTTGATGCCAGCTTCTGATAAGACTGGAAATTCTCCTTGCGCAGCAGAGAGATGCCCAGCTGCCACTGGCAGTGCGACAGCTCCTCATAAGCGCGCCGCAGTGGACTCCCCCCGCGCATCCGCGTTGTCTGCCGAAGTGCATTGCGCAGAGATGCGACTGCCTTGCTTGCCTCGCCATTGGTTTTCTCTTTCCCATTCTGCACTTTTCCATTGGTGCCACTTCGCACCGCGGCATGCAGTACCACACCGTGGTTCATTGCAGGCCATGGTGCCGGCGATCTCTCCTAAATCTACACCCGTACACGATCTTGCTTAGCTGCTGCTCAGGAGCCAGGGCTGACTATTGCCACTGCTTTGGAAAGAAGGGCCATCCGGAATCTTTGCAGCTTACATTGCAAACACTTCGGAGCACCCAACAGCAGCTAGACCAAAGTGGCACATCCCACCTATGTCATTGCCGGAAGAGCGGAGAAGAATTGACGCTGTCTCGGCGTTCAAGTCTGGTGCTGCCGCTGAATGCCGGGCAAGAAAAGAGTTGGGCTCGGCAGCTCTTTGAGCAACATTCAGCGTAGGCTGAGCGTATCTTGAGAAATGGCTGTGATACCAAGCCACGCACGGTCGGGGCCCAAGCTAGGCAAGCGCAAGCATCACAGGGCATCCCGACCCTAAGTCATTCTTCTCCCTGAAAACGCCCCCCGCCGCCCCAGGCCCGCCCAGGTCACACCGTTGCCAAAATCGACGCCCGCGAAGGTCTGGCTGACCGAGTACCACGCGCGACGGAGGGCAACCTGATGCGGTTTCGAGCCGGTTTTGAGCCCAGCTGAGCTGCGGTGGTTCAGTTTACCACCCACCAGCCCTGCTGCATGATCAATTGCATGATGCTTGGAATTTTCAAGAACGGCCCGTTGAAAGAGCAAGGCGGCCAAGACCAAATCTCTGGAGTACATTTTATAGGCGCAGAGGGTGTCTCTCGCTTTCACTACACACGGAGAACGTGATCACACTTTGGTTGGCTGAAGTGCTCTGGCATATGTGCCCGCCTCTACGTCGTTCTTCACAGCAGCGCCTCCAACACAGCAAAACAGAGACAGCTGGAAGCAATAGCTCCGGGGCAGGGTCCAGCACATGTGAAGATTGAGGGGCTCAAATCCAGCTTAGTAGCTCTGACTCATACCGTACACCATATCAACCAATGTCAAAACGGGGTCGCGCGTGCCATCATCTAATTCAACTCGCCGAAGTAGTGCTCAGAAAATGATTGAGTGCGTGTTCCGAGATCTACTTCTCAAAGGTCAGATAGCAGTCAGCGCCCCTTCCCTGAACAAAACCATGTAAGCCAAGGTGAGGAGCAAAGCCAAGAGACTGACAATGATGCCATGTGTTCAGCTTTCACGAGTCGTTCCGTTTACCCTAGGGTTCAACCCCTTTTAAAAGGATGGTTGACCCAAAAGAGAAACATCCGGACGCTGAGACGAGCGAAGCAAATTCTAAACTTGGTTAGAAATAATCAAGCACAGGATCAAAATGGCCATGCCTTCAGGGATGCTTACGCAAATGGTACTTGCCCCAGTACTGCCACTCTGCATCTCCAAAGTTCTCGAAGCCCGTCCAACATCCTTGCAGCACGCCTGGATCGCGCTTGATGTCGACTCCTTTTGCTCGCGCCTGGCTGGAAGCAAGCAAAGCTTTCAAATCACCAACTGCAAAAGTTCGGGGTGCCAAGCCTCAAGCACTCGCTGGAATTCCTTGGCGAATGCACAAAGCAAATCAGGCGAGATGTGTTTGCACCCCTTCATTATTTCGCCTTAGTTTCAAGGCCTAAACCCAAATGGGACAGCAATCGGAGCCTCAAAAAATGGGGTCTCCTATGACGGTTCCATCGTGGGACAGCAATGAAGCGTTCTTGGGCCTTGAGCAATGAACTTGTCAAACTCTGTTTGGTGGGAAATGATGAGGGTAGCTGGAAAGTCAGGAATCCGTGGAGAATCCATGAAAGAGCGTCCATGTGCTGCATAGCGAGAAAATGTAGGCTTGGGGTTCACAAGGAAGGAGATGTCAAAGCCAAGCTCGCATGAGTGATTGCCCGTCTGGCTAACGCTGGTTTGATCTCCAGAAACGCTTTCTGCGTGCCAAACTGCATGCTCCAAGGTCTCTCCGCGCAAGAACTCCTCATCCAGGATCATCGCCTCTCCATCAAAACGCATGCCATGGTCACAAAGGCATGTTACCAAAACTGAAGCAGCGACATACTTCCTGAGCGCTGCCTTTAAAGAGCAAGCCATATGGCTTAACATGCGCGGTTCAGCATGCATGCGCCTGTGTGGCAGCTTCAACAGGTATTGCAGTAGCAAGTGAGCCGCACACTGCTGCCCACATTCTACACACGATATCTTCCGATAGAAGTTGGGGACGGTGCAATGGCGCATAAATGAAAATGACAATTCGCCTCGGCCCCGCCGGGAAGCGGTCAAACCTCTGCAGAACCTCTTCGGGATCTTCCAAGCCCCATCCCCAACCTTCCACCCCAAAATTGGTCCAACCCACGTTGTGCAGCCAAAATCCCTGCTCCAACTTTCTGCAGTGCGGCAGCGGTTGGCCGCTTGATCCCTTCGACCTTTTTGGGCTCCCTTGCCTTGCCTACCAGCAAATCCCCTCCAAAATCTCCGGCCAAATCCCTCTAGAAATTGGTATTTCCCTCTGGAAACCAGCTACATCCCCTCTAAAAACCGGCCTGCAAACCCCTAGAAGCCAGTCATTACATATTCTCTCAGGCTTCGTTTGCATGTGGGTCCCACCTTCTATCTTGGAAACCAGCTCGCGCGTTTCGGCGCCGACTCACTCACTCAAACAAACACAACACTTCAGGGCAAACCAAGACACAGTACCTCAAAGTCAGCCAAAAGCATTCTGGCCCGAGGCGGGCAACGCGAAGGGTTTACAGTTGCTCATCTAGCAGTCATGCTCAGAATTTTCTACTTGCAGCTCAGCAAAGCAATCCAAACTTGTGTTAACTCAATTCGCCGGAAGTCTCAGGGCGAAGGCCTGCTCATCGGATCCGGAGTTGGGACCTGCCCGATGTTTGTTTCAGGCGCAAGTTCAACCACGTTGGCCAGGGGTGAAGCAGCTTCGGCTGCGCAAACTGTGGCCTTCTGTTTGCTGCCCGCGTGGAAGGCATGGTTTTGCCATGTAGCTCCATGTTTGCCAAAACCATCAAAAGAACGCCGGATGGAAAAGTGTTGGCTAAAAGCATTTGAATAGGTCAAATCCGCCGTTTGCATCCCATGGAGTGTGTTGCATGAATGAAATCCGTAAGCCATGCATCATTGGATCCCAGAACGTGTTCCGTCCCAGTCTCGTGCATGCACACCAAAGCCGCTCTCATTGTGCAAAGGCAAGTAAGGATGAACCAGCTTATAAAACACAACCTATTCCAAAAACCAGCAGCAAAGCACAAGAAGCTGTACCCCACATGCCCTCCGGGACAAGACCGCGGTTATCCTCGCGCACCCGGGCCTTTTGCGGCAAGGCCACCGACGAGGGGCCGGCTCCTGCCAAGCGTCGTGTTAAATCGAAGCTCAAAGGAGGGTTGTAAGAGAAATTCTGCATTCGGTGTGGACCCATGTTCAAAACAAAGACTAATGGGTGGTCCGGCAAAGAAACTGTAGATGTTCCGAAAAAAATGTCGAGTCATAGTTCCATTCCTGCAGGGAGGCCTCTCACAACCGCAACCACAGAGTCTCTTGATGAACATGGCCTATTGAACAGCACGTGGGGGTGGGTCTTTTGTAAGGCTACACCTTTTTGGATGGTTTTAACGGGTACCGACAGGAAAACCACGTGTTGTTCCCCAACAGCTGAAAGCTTTGGGGTCTCAGCCCAGATAGGCTCCAGATAGCACTGCACTAAAGAGCACCGCATGCTGTTGGGGATATCATCTGAGCTTTTATTTTTCGTTTTTGCTCTTTCTTCTTTTTCTTTTTTTTTCGGGGGGGGGGGGGTGATGTTGGCTTCCACCAGTTAACCAAAGCGATCACGTCCCTGCAGGCCGGACAAGGCGAACGGGGCCCACTGAACATCTCGGCAAGGGGAGCCCTCAAGTTGCTCTCCTCTTGGCCCCTATCAACCGTCAAAAGCAAGAGCAGCCCCAGCGAATCCCGAAAAAAAGACACCAAAGTATGAACCCCCGTCCAGCGGCCCAGCGGCCTCCAAAAGTTTCCGACGAAGGCTGGGGCCGCTAAAAGCCTGCGCGGCACCCCACTTGGCATGCGGGAGCTTCCTTCCATGAAATCAGCTGGGCGCTTGACACCAGCAGGGCGGCCCTTGGCTGAGGGCTTCATGTGACGAAAAGATCAAACTGGGTCACAACTGTTCAGCACCAAAATGCCGAGTCTGAATCAAAATGTTCTGCAGACCGCCCAAGGCCTTTCCCTTGTTCAATGACTGACCCTCAATCTGAGCCCCCGGCGGACGCCGCAAGCGCGCCTGGCAACAAGCAGCTGGACATGCGCAGCTCTTGGCAGGGCAACGGCCACGACCGAGTTTTGAGAAAGACTGCCCAACATTCGGGTGTCGCCTCCAAAGCCATGGTGTCTGCCGGCTCCAAGCTTCGCACAAACAGCTAGCGGGCCGCGCAGAGTTGCCTGGGTCTGAGTTCCACCTTTCCTGTAATCCCTGATGAGAGGACGAGTCGCCTCGAGCAGCGACTCTTCGCGGGCTCTTTTGCTGGCAGCGCAATCTGCCGACGGCCCCCGACGCCATTGCTCCCGTGGCGTCCTACAGCCCGGCAGCCCTCAGCCGGGCCGGGTGAGCGACCCGCGTTCATGTGGGCAACTCACCTCATGCATGGCGTTAGTCCTGAATTGGTCGCTCACCTGTGCATTAACAGGGCCGAGCCCCGGCATTCATGATGAATGCCTCACGAGTTGCTCAGCTGAAAGCTCCACCTCCTCAGTGTGAAGAGGACTCGATCAGCAGGCTGCAAAGTTGATAGTCACTGAAATCCCCACAGAATACCAACTTTGGTCGCCCACCTTGGAACCTGATCCACGCTTGGGCCAGGGCCAGTTGTCCGAGCCTAGGCTATGTCTCGTCACAGCTGGTTAAGGCGAGCGGTTGACAAACAAACTGCATCTGTTACGAGCGTCGAAAGAAGGATCGGTTGAGATTGACAAATAAGCACAGATGTCAAATCCAAACCCGATCAGTCTACACCGCTGGGTGTGATGGCAGCAGGGCTGCAATTCCTTAAAATTATGGTTTCAAGAATCAAGTCTCGCATGGAAGTCTATAAGCCAACAGCGGCAATCATAATCCATGTTCATGCGCAGGGTTGATATCCAGAGGCTCCCTGGAGTTGAACGTGGACAAGTGATGCACGGCTGGGTGGCCCCACTGCGCTCGCAGGACACCGCCTCGATGCGGTGCTGGCCCAGCTGCGTGAAGGAGTTGAGACCTCGAGCCGCACCCGGAGGGCACGGCACTCGCCGAGCCGGAGGCCGCCGGAGGCCCAGCTCTCGCCACTCCAAGGGCGGCACCAGCGCAGTCGTTGGGCGCTAGCAACTCGCAGCCTCTGTGCTTCCGGTCGTGCCCCCAACTGCAGCTTCCGGGACCCTGTGGGGCCCTTTCCATGAGGCCGGGGCTGAATTTGGGGAGGCTCACGCGCAAAAGCCTTGGCACGGCTTTTGCAGCGGCGAAACCGATCAGCTCCCACTGGGTGCCGCACTCCAAGAATTTCCGCAGCTGTAGCGGAAAGAAGCGGCCTGGCTGGCATCAGCATGTACACACAGCAGGATGGTTGCTCATGTTTGCGCAGTGTTGCTTGCATGCGTTGGCTGTTGCAAAAAAACATGCGCAAAAAAAAGGAGAGGGATGTAGCTTCCAAGAACCTGCATCCACCTATCCCACGCAGGTGGAGGCAGTGTCCCACCTCGAAGCTCTGCCATGTGCTCGCCTGGCAAGTGTTGCGCCCTTGGCACCAGCACACCTCGGACCTCGAAGCGCCTGGGTCGGTCCTCCCCGGCTCTCTGGCAATCTTGACCTCAGCCCAAAGACACCCCGAGGACATTCCGACGGAATGCCCAGAGCAGCACCACTTGTGCAGACTTGACCTGGCAAGCTGGTCATCGAAGCACCATACCAGAAAGACATAGCGCGACTTGACCGGATCAGCAACTGACACTTGAGCGAACATCGCAAGAGAAGCTCATGTAAGGAAGGCTGCCAGCTCTACCACCCCCAATTTGAAAAACGGAATTGCGCCGGGCTCAGCGTCAACCGGGTCGAACGGCCGAATTGCCGGATAAACACGGGAGGCGGTGCGGTCGAGTTCACAAAGGGCCCAGTGGCAAAGAGCTTCGGCAAATGCTGCGGCCTGAGCTTTGCAAAGGAGTGCAACAGCTGACCATCTGCATGTTTGTCAACAAATTAGGCAATGCAATGGCCCCGGTTTGAGAAGGCACTTGGAGTTGCAGAAGCTTACCAGCGCAGCTAACTTAGCACCAAAACATCCTCCCAGCAACATAGTGAGCCAGGCGAAAAGACATTCAAGCAGTCAGAAGTCTCAGGAGTTAGCATGAAGGATCTGAACATGAAGTAGGAAGGAAGCTGTTGAAGGCGACACATCCTTTCCATCTAGGCACCCTGCGGAGGCGGAAAGCCTGGTGAGGGCTGTCCCAGAAAGTACTGCCGCAGCACATCCATGAGGCACTGCACCCGCCAGGGTCCTCAGGGCCAGCTGTGAGCTCGTGAACCCGCCTAGCTCCCCCGAAACACCAATATCGTTCAGACACAGGGCAACCTGCGCTTGGCTTTTCGAGCGAAACTCTTCGCCGTTCTCCTTGGAACCACAGGGCGGCGGTGGAGAGCGCGTTGCGCACCTCCGGCGTCGACGCCTTGATCCCGTCCCGGCGCAGCTCCCGCAGCTCTGCCAGGGTCTGGTCCGAGACCGCCTCCTCCAGACCCAACATCTGCTCCTGAGTCGACTGAGCCGAAAGATCCAAAATCCTTCGAAAGGCAAAGGGAGAAGTTGAAAGTCCAAGATGGAAGGTCAGAAAGGCAAAGAGATTCCCATGAAAGTCTGCAGGTCGAGCCCTTCGAACCCTTCGAGACCTTCGAGCCCTCGATGCCCTCGACGCCCCATGAGCGCCTTGGGCACGCTGAAGGGCGCCTGCTCCTCCTGCAGCAAGCCCCGCAGCTCGCGGGTGGAGGGCCACACCACCGCGCAGGGCTCCTTGGACGAGGGCCGCACCGCGCCGCGGGCGTCGCCGGCGTCCCCCGCAGTCCAAGGCCCGGTGCCCTCGGGGTAGGGGCATCCCCCTCTTGGCTTCGGGTATCTGAAAAAGTGCAAGCGATTCAGCTGTGTGTGTGTGTCCGATCTCCTGCGCATGTCTTCCTTGCAGGTGTGGATGTGTCAAACTAGACAGAAAAATCGGCGCAGTCCGACTGTGTTGACTTTGCACATTTCGGACTTCCCGGCCTCACCAAAGACCGTCACAGTAAAGCGCTCCGACTCCATGCTGAAGCTTTGCAGCACGCCTTGCCGAAGCAGAACCCAGAGGCTGCGGTATGCCTCGTCCCAGTCCTTCACCTTCTCGTCAGGTGGCTCATTTGTCTGCTTGTTCCTTGGCCCAGCGAGCAAAACCAGACATCAGCAGTCACCGACCGTGTCACCAGGTGCAAATAAATCCCGAAGCAAAAGACAAGGACGCAAGAGAAACGGACTGATCCCCAGACAACGAGCACGTTCGAACTTCATGAAGACAAGCATCCAAGTTAAAATTGGCTTGAAAGCCTGCCATGCACACATCAGCTGCACAATGTGTAGTTCCCAAAGGAAGGTGTGGGGATTTGAGGCCCCGTCTTTGCTATGCGGACATTGGGTGACTACCCCTCCCCCCATATCCTCCCCACTGATTTGGCCGGTTGCTCAGTTGCATCCCGGCGGCGGCGGGCCATCGGCCTCGTGCCAGCTGAGGCTGCTGGCAATGCGGCCCAGCCAAGCCACCGCGCGGTCCTTCTGCGACATCCTGAGACAAACAAACCATAAAAGGATCGTCCCACACCAAAGCAAAGCGCGGACTCATCTGGGGCTTCGCGAATCCGTGGAAATAAGCAATGAACACCGGGATCAACGACAAGCGACAATTTCGCTCGCCCACGGCTTGGCTTTGGCCCAATATGTTGATCGTGATTGCATTGCATCTGAGGCCTTGAGCAAGAGGCTTACCCTTTGTGTGGGTGGGGCCACACAAAGGTGATTCATGTCGGCTCTTCTTCAATGAATCAAAAAGCGTAGTTGTTCGTTTCACACAGCCAGATGCAAAAGCTCCTAACCGGAATAATCTTCCTGTCCTTTCGGCCAATCCAGGGCCTTTCCCAAACCGAAATCCCGCTGGGCGCCCGGCAAATGCGGCAGGCTGGCCGCCAGCAGCTCCAGCGCCTCCTCCCTCGCCTCCGCCGTCCCCGCGCCGGCGGCCCCCGCGCCGGCCGCGCCCCCCGCGGGCGGCGCGGCGCCGGTGCGGCGAAGGCCGCGGCGGCGCCGCAGCGCAGCGCCGGGGGAAGCCGCAGGAAGCGCAGCGACACCGCGCTGCGGAGCCGCAGATGCCGCTGCAGCGCCAGGTCTGCCAGGAGGTCCTCTGCGTGACTTGCTGCGATAGGTAGGGCATGAGGGACTGAACCTGGGGATTCCCTGAAAGCAAACCATAGGATGGATGGTTCATAGGGGTCATTCCCTGATTCCCTGCTGAGCACCAGCAAGGTAAAGATTGAAAACGGCGAAAGTCTTCAAAAGGATCTCGAGCCCAACGCTATAGACGCTTGTGCACTTCCCAGCTAGATTGGAGCCAGGTCTGCCAACACCATGGCTGCCAAGCTCCTCTGGAGAGCTGAGCTGCGGCAGTTGCACCTCCGACAAAGTGATGGCTCACGTTTCGTGTGGGGTCTCACCTGAGGGTCTGCTGGGCCGTGTTCGTCCATATGGGATGGCAAAAAAGGTGAATTACAAAACCCGAATAAAGGCTGGATGGAGAGCTGGGGCGTGACATCAAACCACACCAGCTGCTATATATTACTTTTGCAGCATAACTATCTACCTTTTTTTGATGGTACCCCATGTTGGTTGGATTTGAAGGGAGCCAAAAGCAAACCATGGCCATTTGTTGGGGTCCAAATCCTAGAAAAAGACACACCCATATTCTCAGCCGGCGGGTGCCTCATGGGCCTTCTCCAGGGCTCTTTTGGCCGCCAGCTTCTGCTGGTTCTGCCGGTCCTGCTGCCTCTTCTCCTCCGCCCCGAAGGTGTGAGTCTCGCCGCCCTGCGACAAATCAAGAGGCTCTCACCGGAGGCTTTCCTTTCCCATGCGCCTGCAGCTGCAAAGGGTCGGCGGAGAAGGCAGGCGTCAGAAAGTCATCATCCAACTCCACCGGCAGCTGCTCGTTGGACTTGATGCTTTGCCCTCGAAGCTTTGAAACAAGACAGCACAGAGATTCGGCAAATGCCCTACATCCGAAACATCGGCGAACCACAATCAGTCAGCGCCCGTGTGCTCGTGAAGGCTCAATGTGCCGTTGGGACATTCTTTGTAGATGAAAGCCAGGTTTCAAAAAATGATAATAATTAATAATAATTATTAATAATAATAATAATAATAATAATAATAATAATAATAATAATAATAATAAATAATTAATAATTAATAATAATAATAATAAATAATAATTAATAAAAATAATAGTAAATAATAATTAATAATACTAATAATAACTAATAATTAATAATAATAAATAATCATTAATAATAATTACTAATAACTAAAAAAAAAAAAATAATTAGTAATAATAATAATTAATAATAATAACAATAACAATACTTAATAATTAATAATAATAATACTAATTAATAATAATAAGAATAATAATTAGTAATAATTAATAATAATAATAATAATAATAATAATAACAATAATAATAATACACATGATACACATGAAAGCAAACGCACCAGTGGTCATCTCCGATCTGCGCTTCGGGCTGTGTTCCAAAGTCGGAACCGATTTCTTCGTTCGCCAAGCATCGCAGGGCGCCGAAGGAGGCGATCTTCCTCACCTTCTTGGGCGGCGCATCCATGGCTCGCTCGAAAAACGCCAGGGGGAATTGGGATGAAAACATGTATACTTTGTGTGTGTGTGAGCTTTTGGAGTGGGAGGTTTTGTTTCGCAAAAAAACGGCACCTTGGTCAACTGCGCCAAAAAGCATCATGGAATGTCACGTGAGCGGCCGTAAGGAAGACCAATGTCTTGTTGTCTTTGTGCCAAATGCCTAGGATTGCAGCTAGGTTGGGGAAAGTAGTTGCTTGGGGCATCCATGCTGCATGTGTAAGGAATCACGACAGTTGATGTCCCAAGTTTGCAGCCAATGCCTGCCCGTGACATCAAGTGCTGTCCAGCCGACAAACATCTGGCAAAGGCCAATTGCAGAGCCTAGTAATCGAACTACATCACAAGATTACTAAATCTAAAAATCAAAGGCGCGGATACACACTCGGGAGTATG